ACTCTTGTTTTCTTAAACCTAACCTTTATGCCCATTGACATCTGGGGTTCTCTGGTGTTAGTCCCAGTTTTTGCCTTTATGGGGACATATTTGCACTGTACCTTCACAATCTCCTCGTTGAATGCCTCCCACTGCTCTGACACAGTTTTATCTGCTCAGAGTTCAATTGGGCCAAATTGTATGTTATTTTAGTAAAATTAACATTTCCTCAATTTAGAACTTTTATTCTTGATCCATCTATATTCTTTTCCATTACTACCCTAAATATAACTGGGTTATTCTTACTATCTCCAAAATGCTGCCCAACACTCGTACCTTCCACTAGCTCTGGCTCATTTCCAAATATTAGGTCCAGAACTATCCCCACCCTTGATGAACTTTCTGTGTACTAGCTAAAAACATTCTGGATGCAATTTATGAATTTTATTTCTTCCCTACCTTGCATACTAAAACTATCCCAATTAATATTTAGTTAAAATTTCCCATCATTGCTGCTTTTTTATTCTTGCACTTTTCTGAAATTTGATTACATATTTGATCCTCTATGTCTTCCTGATTGGAAGCCTACTGTACACACTCAAAAGCTAGTTTGTCCCTTTTTATGTTTTTAACATCTACCATATAGTCTTATTTGATAATCCTTCCAAGATAACATCACTCCTTACTGCTAAACTACTGAAAAAAAGATAATTAAAAATAGTGAAGCTTGGGAATCGGTGCCTGAGAACTGAAGCATGATCAAAGGAGTACCCACTCTTTGAAAAACATATGGAACCAATTTGCGTAATTATTGGTCAGTTAGTTTAACTTCTGCAATTGATAAATGTGGTGCCTTTAGTTAGGGATGACATAACTATGCACAGAAACACAAAACTACTAAGAGCTTGTCAGTGCTAATTTTGAAAGGGCAATCATGTTCAATAAGCTTCATGGAACTACTTGAGAAGACATAGTCAAAGAGAGAAATGTACAGGAAACTTAGGAAAGCCTTTGACAATGAACTATTTGGGAGATTATGAATCAAGTTACATTAGTTCGGTTATATTATTACATCAATGACTTGAAGATGGGGGTTCAAGTCCTATCATGTCAGGTGTGGTTTTAAATGCAGTTATCTAGAATAAAAATTTGTTATTTATAATGGGGACTACAAAGCTACCAGACAGCTACAAAAAAAATGTCCATTGGTGAATGCAATGTTTTTTTTTAAAATGGCTTTCAGCATTTCTGAAGAAGGGTCCTAACTCGAAACGTCAAGTTTCCTGCTCCTCTGATGCTGCCTGGCCTGCTGTGTTCCTCCAGCTCTACACTATGTTATCAAAAAGCCATTTGGCTGCATTCAAGGCTGCAGCTCACAACTACCTTCTTAAGGGAAGTTAGTGACTGGCAATCAAGGCTGGTTTTACCAGAGATGCCCACGCTCTGCAAAATAACCAAAATACTAAGGGTTATAGGTTTAAGGGAAGGATAGTAATCTATTTAAAATTATTAGAAGGGGATTGAGGAGGTAGAATTACAGACAGAATTTACAGAATGGATAAAAGTTTAATGAGATTAATGAGTCTTTGTAATTCACTTATAAGGCTCATGATCCAGACAGAAACTAAGTCAATGTTCAAGTTCTGATTTGAACGGTGGATGAAGGAAAAAGGATATGAAAAGAGAGTGTATGAATATAATCAAGTATTTGTATGGACAGTTGGACCAAATGGCTTGTTTCTATGCTGCACCTTATACATATATCTGTGCAAGTATTTGCACTATTTCCAAAGGAATCAGTCTCAAATTTGGCTGAAGATCTTGAGTACTGAAGACGCACAAGCAAACAAATCTACAGAACATGATCTCTCATCTCAGCAAAAGTACAGCAAAAATATGTAAATATTGATACAATTTTAATTAACATTATAACCAAAATTCTGTCTACAGGTGCAAATATGCCACCCAATACAGGGATTCAAGTTATTTTGTCAATCGATTACAGTCAAGCAATATGGATGATGATAAATTTTCTTCACTTCAAAAAACGGTTAGTCTTACTACAAACCCATTTCTTGGAACCCTTTAGGGAATACAGGAGAGACTTTCCATACCTCTCAAAACACGTGAATTTCTAACACACAGTACCTTGCTATGCATTAGAAACTAAATTAAATGCCTCCTGAACCGAATCGTAGAGTCATAGAGATGTACAGCATGGAAACAGACCCTTGGGTCCAACTTGTCCGTGTCCACCAGCTATCCTATTAATCTATTTCTATTTTCCAGCATTTGGCCCATATCCCTCTAAACCCTTCCTATTCATATGCCCATCCAGATGCCTTTTAAAATGTTGTAATTGTACCAGCCTCCACCACTTCCTCTGGCAGCTCATTTCATACACGTGCCACTTTCTGCATGAAAAAGTTGCCCTTTACATCCCTTTTAAATCTTTCCCCTCTCACCTTAAACCTATGCTCTCTAGTTTTGAATTATCCCAACCCCGGGAGAAAGACCTTGTCTATTTATCATATCCATGGCCCTCATGATTTTATAAACATCTATAAGGTCATCCCTCAGCCTCTAATGCTCCAGGGAAAATAGCCCCATGCTAATCAGCCTCTTCCTCAACACTTTAACTCTGGCAACATTCTTGTAAATCTTTTCTGAACCCTTTCAAGTTTCACAACATTCTTCCTATAGCAAGGAGACCAGAATTGAACGCAGTATTCCAATAGTAGCCTAACCAATGTCCTGTATAGCCGCAACATGACCTCCCAATTCCTATACTCAAGGCACTGACCAATAAAGGCAAGCATACCAAATGCCTTCTTCACTATCCTATCTACCTGCGACTCCACTTTCAAGAAATTATAAACCTGCACTCCAAGGTCTCTTTGTTCAGCGACATTAAGTGTATAAGTCCTGCCCTGATTTGCCTTTCCAAAATGCAGCACCTCACAATTATCTGAATTAAACTCCATCTGCCACTCCTTGGCCCATTGGCCCATCTGATCAAGATCCTGTTTTACTCTGTAAGGTTTAGGAAACTGAAGACAGACAGAGCCTTCGAAGAATACAAAGACAGCAGGAAAGAACTCAAATGAAGCATTAATAGGACTAAAACGGGCCACGAAATATCTTTGGCAAACAGGATTAAGGAACATCTCAAGGTGTTTTATACATATATAAGAGCAAGAATGTAGCAAGGCGAAGGGTACATTCATGAATAATTCACATCAGTATTCACAAGAGGGAAGGACACAGTGAGTAGTGAGTTTCAGGAGGGCTACATTGATATTCTGGGGCACGTCAACACAAAAAAGGTGATGGTGTTGTGTGTTTAAAAAGCATTAAGGTTGACAATTCCCCAGGATCTGATAGGATCTATCGCAGAATGCTGAAGGAGGCATGTGAGGAAATTGCTGGGGATGTTACCTGATTTGGAGGATATTAGTTATGAGGTGAGATTGGACAAAGTTGGTTTGTTTTCACTTGAACATTGAAGGATCAGAGGCGACCTGATAGAAGTTTACAAAATTATGACAGGCACTGATGGAACGGATAGTCGGAGTCTTTTTCTTCAGAGTTGATGTGTCAATTGTTAGGGGACACAGGTTTAAGGTAAAATGGGATAGGTTAAAAGAGATGGGACGGGCAGTTTTTTATTCATGGAGAAGGTGGCAAGTACCTGGAAATGCACTCCCAGAGGGGTTGGTGGATGTAGATACAACATTTAAGAGGCATTCTGAGAGAGAAGATATATATATTTTTATAAAGAAGTAGGGAATGGAGGGATGTGGACCGTGTAGAGGCAAAAGATTTTTAGCTCAGAAAGGCATTGTGTGTCAATGAAAGTGGGCTGAGGGGCCTGTTCCTGCGCTGTACTATTCTTTGTTCTTTGAGTAATAGGCAAGTGTACACCAAAGGCTGATCGCATTTAAGATATCGAAAATAAACAAAAGTGTGCTTAATGGCAGCAACAAGATAGATTGTGGTCAATGCCCACAGTCCATGTTTTTAGTGAGTTCATTTTTTAACCACACATGTAAGGGAATTAATCCAAGGTTCAAGGATAAATATCCAATAGGAGGATGTATGAAGCCATCAGAAAATTGAATTTTCTCAAAAATAAACTTTGAAAACATTCATCTTGGGAGATAGGAAATAAACAAACAGTCTCAGTCAATAGTCACATGTGTCAAAGTGTATTTTCTGTGGCTTAGAAAGAACACTCTGCTCCTCTTCGATAATGGATCAAAGCAAAATAGACCTATTTAATGAAAAGGACAGCATATCTGATAATGCAGCAGTCCTCAGTACTGTATGGGAGGTTTAGCACTCAATTAGTTCAATTGAGAATGAGGTTTTGAATCTCCTGACTTAAAAGCTAGAAGTATTGAGGCAAGATGACAGTTGGTAATCCACGTTGCAGACCCCACTATCTAAAGTAGAAAACGAATAGAGGCAGGTTTTTGGCAGAGCTTTCGTAAGTATGGAATTGGAAGAAGATTAGATTCTCACATGACCATAATAGAACCTCTACAGGACACACTTGCTCAGTGATTTCTTCCCAGTGGGATGAATTGCATATCCAAAATTCAGCAGAAATGAGCAAATGAGAAAAATGGCTTTCAATGCCAGACTACTTTAATGCTGTCCCTTACTGCTGTGACTTAATCCGCTGTCCATTAGTCTGCTGTTTTGAAAAACAATTCAAAGTGTTTGCATTCAATTTTTATCCGTTAATCAAAATACTCTGTATGGCAATCAACTGTGAAAAAATCTTCAGAAAGCAACCAAAAAAAACTCTAAAAGAGAAAGTCATCTCTCTTTCCAGTAAATATAACCTACTGTAGCTCACTATCCAGGATAGTCTGCTCACTTGAACCTCTTTTACAACCCATATTAGAGCTTTAAGATACTACTCATTCATAACTATGGCAAAAGTTATCTTTTGTTTCCAAAGTCTTGCGACGTTAACATTTAATTTTCTTGAAAGATCCAGAAGTTTTTCTAACCTGTATGCAGAAAGGATGTTCAGAGGTGGGGGCTTCTCACACATGCTGTAAGTTTCCAGCAACGGAATGGGCAATGATTTGCGGTCGAACAGTTGCTGATCTTGAACAGTAGAGCTTCGAAAAGCTTTCCTCATAGTAATGTCTTGAAGAGAGACTAAAATGAAAATTAACAAATGTGCAGATCACTGTAAAACCTCTGCATGACAGCGTTCTATATACATTTTTAAATAATTGCATTGTATCTTTACAAAAGGTTTGTTTTGCACATTGACAGCAACCCTACACTGTTCATGCATTCTCTTAACCATTAAAGCAGTTCCAGAATCAGCACACAACACTGCAAAATATTTTTTAAAAAAGGTTATAATATTGGCGGAATCATTTGACAACCTATGTTTCAGTTTGTTTTGAAATAGTGACCAACTTATAGTTATCAAAGTAAACAGCTTGTAGCATAAAGAGAACTTCAAATAAAAAAAACCAAAATGGAATACATTCCCAACTCCTGGTGCTGACTCATAAGATCCGATGTCTTGAACATTCTCCACCTTTATGGATGGCTTACTCAGATTGTAGTTTCTCAAAGCAGATCTTACACAGCTCCCAAAATCTTAAGAAGAATATTTTGCAGAGCTTGCATGCATAGATTCAATATGATTTGTAGAAATGCAGTCCTGGTGCCCATCAGAAATAGAAAAGGAAGTAGCCATTCAGACCCTCGGGCCTGCTCTGATGTTGCTTCCCATGTTGATAACCATTTTGCTTCCAAAATTATGGGTAACAGTGGTCAATAATGATCTGGAGATTCAGCATCACTATCAATGTTAGTTAAGCAATGGACAAATTTATCACAACTAAAATCCTAAAAACAATCAAAGAAACAGAAATACTAAAAAAAAATACATGAAGATGACAATTATTCACGTCACAGCACATAGGAACAACAGGAGGTCTTTTCACTCCTAAAACCTGTTCTGACATTTAGTGAAATCATGACTACATGATCAAATTCCTCACACCCAAATTTGCTCAATATATCTTATGGTTAAGAAAAGTATAAATATCAGATTTGTAATTAACAATTGAACCAGTAGCAATTGTCATATGCAAAAAATAACTTGAAAACTACTATATTTGGCTCAGGAGTATTTCCTTACTTTACTTTTGAAAGGACTGGCTACAATGTATAGACTATCGTGTTTGACATTGTATTTCTGCAAAGTATGAAGTCATTCTATTTGTTTGCTTTGTTCCTTATAATTACATTATATCGCAATCAAATAACTCCTTAACTTCTTAAATTCTAGAGAACATAACCCTGGTTGGTATAATCTTGACTTTTATTTTAAATCCAAGCAACAGAGTCTGGTCTAAGAGGAAATAAAGGGTTAAATTCACACTTTCAGAATAGTGCAACAAATCCCCACAGAGGAAACAGATTTTATTTTGGGGATTTTCTGGTTGGTTCAAAAACTGCAGCCCCTCACAGAGGGTGTTAGCAACCAGTGGAAATTAAAGAAACTGAGATGCTACATGAGGAGCACTGTGGATTGTTTCTTGACTATGTTGTGACTGGATCTCAGGTTCACAGACTCTTCCTTTTCTTGTCTAATTCTATGAAAATGGGATTTGATTCATTTACCTGACACTATTGTTGAAAACTCAAGTATAAAGGAGGAAGGAAATGAGGCTGATATTTTAGCCTATCTTCTTTAACATAAATTCACCAGTTGGATTCTTAACTGAGAAACTTGTATTAATCAGAGATAGTAAGAACTGCCGATGCTGGAGTCAGAGATAACACAGTGTGGAGCTGGAGGAACACAGCAGGCCAGGCAGCATCAGAGGAGAAGGAAAGCTGACGTTTCGGGTCAGGACCCTTCTTCATAAAAGAAGAAGGGTCGCTACTTGAAATGTCAGCTAACTTGTATTAATCAGCCTGCCTATAAATTAAATCAGAACCATTATCTGGGAGTTATTATTTTGATTATTTTAGACAAAGCATTAACAAGTGGAGACCACCTCAAATACCAGCTGATGAAGAATATGTGGTAGTCCATCAGGTAGTTGCTCGATCCGAGTATCTTATTAGAATTCTACAATTGGCTCACAAAATTTTAATGGCAAGTCACTTAGGTACGAGGACATGAAGGCTAAATTACTGAAACATTTTTATTGACTAGAATTGTTTAAAACATGGTTAAATTTTGCCAGAAAGCCAAACAGGTCAGATAGTGAGGAACCCCATCAATTAAACCTGCACCTTTAATTCTGATTAATGTTGAGGAACATTCAGCAGAGTTTTAATAGATCGTATAGGACCCCAAACTAATACTATGAGTGAGAATCAGTACCTATTAATAATTACTAATGTTTCAACCTGATTTGCTGCAAATGTCTTTAGGCATAGTTACAGCAAAAGTGGCAGTGGAAAGTTAGCTCATTTTTTAGAACAAGAAACAGAATTACTCAAAGAAATAAAATTTTGATCTTGATCTGTTTCTATGTCACACATATTCAAAGGAATAATGGGTAGCTACAGAATAAAACAATGCATTCAGCTTATTATTCAAAATCTCAAACAGCATTGCAATAATGGCATCAAACTTTAAACCCTATGTTTAGAGTTTAAGAATGTCCTAATGTTTAGAATAAAGGAATTCCCTCGTACCGTCTGCTATTGGGGATGTGCTTAATAAGTCTGCAGAATTCAGTCCTTTTCAACCTGATATACAAACATGAGGCATATAATCTTTAAAGTAACTGAAGAAAAATAACAAAATCTTAAGAGATTACATTTCTGATTTACAGTCTATGTTTGAGAAAAACTAACCAAAAAGTGTGTGTGTTGCATTTTGAATGGGCATTTGTAGGACAAAATGTTTTTTACAACTTGAAAGCTGGATTAATTACCACATTGTTTTTAGCAGCACCAAATTATACTCAGCCTTTAAAAGTGACTGTTGATGCCAATGATGTTGGTGCTGGTGCAGTACTGTTACAGCAGGATAAGGTGGGGAATTGAACAGTCAGCTAGCTCCACAGCACTGAAGTCATGTCAACAGAAATGTTCAATAGTGGAGCCAAAGACATGGAAGCTAGCACTAGCTCAACAACATTTTGAAGTTTACACATCCAGGAACACTGCAGACTCTGATTTATAGACAACGATTCTTTAAGCAACTTGAACAATTTCGTAATAAAATTCTGAACCTGTTTTGTTGGAGTTTAATCTACAGCCATATAATTTGCAAAATAATTGATGTGGGAGGAAGAGACAATGTTATTTGTCAAGGGAACGTGGAAGAACAAAATGCCATCATCAAAATGACTTGTGTGGAATGATTGTTTGAAAGTCCTTATGTGTTCTATGTAAACATATTATTGCTGTCAATTTAAAATAGAAATTGCAAGGAAATGTTGATAAGAAGTAATGATGATTCTTAAAAATATATTTTCACTATTTTTGCAGGGAGGTGTGATGAAGGTTTATAATATATGATTACGTTTTGAAAACTTGGCTTCTAAAGTATAGCTAAATGGGTTTTTGCGGTTCAGGGTTTCATTTCTGTGAAGGTCAGAGACTCTTTCTTTAGAAACTCAATTTCTAAGAAATTATAGTGACTTAACCTAAATGACCTCTTACAATAACTGCTGAAAGATTTACATGTTGAGTTTTTACAAGCTTTTAATGCTATAACCATAAAACTTGAAAATAATTCATAGGGCAGAGAGGGGTTGGGGCATGATCAATTCGGAAGTGAGTGAACCATTGAGAAAAGGTACATGGCTCCATGATCTTTATATTTTCATAAAATTCTTTCGCCTTTTCCATAAGCATTGGTCCAGAGGTACATGGACGTTCCAAACTCTAACAAAAGTCATTCATACAATGCACTATCCAAGTCTTCAAGCTTAGGAATATGAAGTATATACTTTTATCACACTCTGATCTCAAAAAACTTTCTAAAAACTTTTCATTTTGCTCTTTCATGTCACAGATAGTTAAGGAACCAACAGTGAATTCCTGCATAAGGTCATTGTGAATTTCACTCTTTTCCAGTCTTTCACATATTTCTGTTTTGAAATCCTTTAGTCCTTGCATGGGAGTCATCTTAGGCGCAATAGTGGATAGATGGGTGAGAAATTTCAGATACAATATGATCACAGATTGAACTAACTGTTACTGTAATGGCACCTGCATGAGGAAAGACAATGGTCAGCACAACTAGTAGTGGCTCTCATCTCATGAGTATTACTACATGGGAGGTGAACATATGCACATTGGAACTTGGCACATCAAGTTCAAACAGGCGTTTTTGAAGAAAACATCGAGGTAAAGATTGAGGCTTCAGCTGGGGAGCTAATTGACACCACATTCCCAGCTTCTGACATCCTCTAGTAGCCACAGTAATTGTGTGACTAATCCAGTTCATTTTCTCATCAGTGGTATTCTGTCTTTGTTTAAGATAGTCAATCTACACTGAATCCACTCCAAGGCCAATACACTGTTCTCTGCTGCCATGAACTATTAACAGTAATTCAGCTGTGGTCTTTGCATGGCTGAAGCATGACTTCTATACTTTAAAGTTTGCTAGACCAAGGACAGTATTCAGTTAACTTTTTTTGAATTACAGTATCAAAGCTTTTCCTGCATCTATTCATGATCATATTTACCTGGACCCCAAGTCTCATTGGACCTCCACTGTTTCTAGCTTTTCACTATAAAAAGTTTAATTCTTTTTAACCTCCAATTGGTTGACCTCATATTCGCCTACCCTGCGTCTATTTGTCACTGAGCTCACTCAATTAATTAGTATCTCTTTGTTATTTCTCTTTTCCTATCTCTCCCTCTGAAGTGTATGTCAAAGATCCGATCAAATTATTTTGAATAGAAGCAAGGATATGATTCTCGGTGCCCTGGTCAATATTCATTCCCCAATTAATATCACCAGATTACCAGATCATTAGCGTATTACTGTTTGTAGCAGCTTTCTGTGTGCAAATTGGTTCATGTGTTTCCCATATTACAGAAATTACTGTACTTTATAAAGAGCCGGAAGGCCATAAATGGAATAGAGTATTCAGTTCTGGTCATCACTCTTCATGAGAGACATTAAGGCATTAGAGAATGTGCAGAGAAGATTTACAAGAACAGTCCCAAGGATGAGGAACTTTAGTTTTGTAGATAGATGGGAGAAATTCAGGCTTCTTTTCCTTGCAGAGTAGAATAAAACTGTTCCCATTAATGGGAGGGCCATTAACAACATGATGGAGGCAGGGGTGGTGTAGCACTTGTGAATTGCTCCTTCAACAGCCAGCAGAGACAATCAGTCAAATGGTTCAGATCTATGCTATGATCATTCTAAAAATGTGCAAAGGTCCAGAGAATATACTGACGAGATTTACTCAATCGTTCCAGGAATTAGGGATTTTAGGTTCAAGACTAGGTTATTCTGCTTTGACCAAATGTGATTGGCGAGAGATTTTGTAGAGGTGTGCAAGATTCTGGGAGGTTGAGAAAGTCAATGGTACAGAGACGACAGGACAGATTTAAGGTTTAAGAGCAAGAAAATAGGGCAAGCAGGATGAAGAACATTTCGTGCAGCGAGTGGTAATGACATGGACCACACTGCCTACACTGGTGATGGAAGAACAGATGATGAAATATTTCAAAACAAAATTGGATGGACATTTGAAAGAAATAAACTTACAAGGCTGCAGCGGAATAGAGCAGTTAAACAACAAATTAGGTAATTACTACATCTCATCAATAAAAGAGGGCCAGATCAACTTCAAGAAGATTCTATGGATCTTTTTAATTAAGCTGCTGGTGCTTTGATGTTTCAGTAATATTTAGTAATGCTAAGTACCAAAACAGCAGGGTAAATGGTCTACTATTTATGTAAAAAGATAAGCAATTTCAGTTGGAAGACTGATTCAAGCAAACTAACTCTTGCTATTTTTCGAGGTAATGTTGAAGTACTTAGCCATATTGTTGAACCTTATTCAAATTCCTCAGGATTTTCGGTTGGCGTTGAGGCGCAACATCAACATATCATAAAGTATACATCAAATAAATATATTAGTATAAAAAGGAATAAAATTCCATCTCAGTAATTGAAGGATTTGCAACCATAAGTATTAGTCATCCTGTACAACATATCAGCGTAGAGAAAAACCACGGGAGATCTGATCTGTCCCAATGACAGAACACTGCACTTGGAATGAGTGACAGGGTTAATCCAAAATATTCATTGTGGCGACAGGATATTTTCTATGTTGAAGAGCTGGTTTGAAGAAAACACACTGCGCCACATTGCGATAATGATTGAATAAACCATTGACATCGTTGATTTCACATGATGCATCTGGCTTTTAAAAAGCCTATATCATATTAACCAACTTGGTAAGTAGGGTCTATGATCTTCACAATGAAAGTAGTCTTATTGGGGTCACACAAACTTCAAAAATCATATACATTTCAAGTTTTGCAAGTGCAATTTGGATTTTGAGGAACAAGTGGCAGACAAACTTAACTAGGCTGAGATGCGACTGCAGTACATGCAGAATAGTAATTTCACTGTATAGTGTACACTGTCGTATAGTACTGCTCTGAATGGTTTTCAAATGCATCTCAAAATTTGATGAGTGTCCAGCTGGATTTGACAAAAAAATTATTGCTGGCACTTTTTAGTGCCACCAGTAACCTAGCTAGTTGTGCTTGCAAACATTGTACCATTACACATACGCTGGGTACATGAATGATCCAAAATACAACCACAACATTAGTTAAGCTATCTGAACTAGACCAACTTGAGATAGTTGGTGCTAGGTCAGTCATATCTAGACAATCATTTTGGACAGTTATCAAAGGCCTTCAGCTATTCCCTCAGCCTCGATGACCAATTGCTTGGAGGAACTGTGCCAGACAAAGTAGATTTCTTACAGAAGATGTGAAGTACAATAATCAAATTTTGCTTGCAAAAAATGAACAACCATCAACTGCTTCAGCAGCAATCATGGCAGATGCTTCCAATTTCTCTATAGATTAATACAGCTCTCCTTGTCAGACCTTGGAGTAACTTATCAAATGCTATCCTCAGAGGATATCAACACTGTTAAATTCAAAGTTTTGGCGTGTATATCTGCCTTGATATTGATACTTGATTTGATTTTTGCTACAACATGAAAGAAGAATACCAATTTCAGAGAAGATCCAAAGACAATTTATGATATGCAGCAACTTTTATCAGCAGCTTACGCATAATGCAGTTCATTAACAATAATGCAGATTTTCAAAAAAAAAAAAAAAAAAAAAAAAAAAAAAAAAAAACTTACGTTCCTCCTCTTTTGGATCCAATTGTGTCACGCTAACAGAAAGACGGTCAACACGTTCCTGGAGAGAGTTAACCCTGAAGGAGAAACTATGAGCTTCATTGAAGAGCTCCCCAAATATATCTTCAGCATATTTACCTAAAGAGCAATTCAAAAAAAAATTACATCAGGTTGAAGTTTGGAAAAGAACGCTAAGATTGCAACAATGAAGAAGTCACAAAAAAAATTGAGCTTAGATATTTATCCACAAGTCCAAAGGAATGCTATGTGAGATCATTAAGATGACTTGAGAAGAAATCAGTCAATAAAAATTATTTTCATAAATCATAAAGCTTTAAAGTATATTGATCTGTCTACTTGGTTTAATTTCCATCCCTTTCTTGCTCATACCCTTTCGAAATTTCTTTAAAACTATTTATCCATTTCACTTTAAAAAGTTATCACGGATGGCCTTGTTGCTGTAATGTTCCACCAGAAACATGAAAGAAAATTTCTCCTAGCTTTCTTTTTGACAATGAACTTGAATTTATGCCCTCTAATTATCAACTTGCTAACCAATGACAGATTTTTAACCAGTTACCTCATCAAAACTTCTCAATTTTGCATACTTCTATTAGTTTTCTCTCACCTTTCTCTCTTCCAAAGGAACTAGTGAATTTCGTAAGTTTCTTAAAACAAATTCCCTCATCTTAGCAAATCTCTTTAGCATCCTCATCATGACCTTAACTTTTCTAAACCAGAGCTTCTAATGTAGGCATGTTATTCTAATGGTGTGCTTAGTAAATCATTTATATTGTAAAACATCATACTTTCTTACACTACGCACCTTAGACCCAACAATTCTTTCTTTAAAACTTCATGGACTTTCCTACCACATTTAAAGATATGTTTGAACCCCCAAGTTGATTAGCTTTTTTATTCTCATTAAAGTTTTATGATTAGGAATGTATATCTCATCATTTATTTAAAAATAATCATGCATTTACTTAAATTTCTTCCACCTGTACAATCCACCAACCTATACCCTTAGAAATTCACTTACAATTCTCTTCAAAGTTGCTGCACTGTACTGTTTACAAACTTGCATTCAAAACATGCATTATTCATAATTCTGAATGTTCTACTGTTTAGCCAACTTTTAATTCACAAGGCAGGAAATAAGCGAGTGGAAATCCAAGACAGATGAACAACTGTCCAAGTATGAAGTACAGGAGATTTTAACCCCAGAGCCAATCAACATATTTCAAGAAAAACTCAAGTGCATTCCAGTAAGTATCCATCATATTACAGCTGTACCCACAGGGGAGTGTAGACAGAATTGTGTGATTTAACTTGCCCCAACTATTTCAATTGCCTGCATTGCCTGTTTCTAGACCTAAGGTTTCCATTAGGTTTCCCCTGGACAGTCAACCAAGGGCACCAATGGTGGCCAAATGTACCAGGTTTCCTTAAGAGCTATATTGAACCTAAAGGATAAAAATTCAAATGAATGAATATGCAAATCAGAAGCAAAGTAGGCTTTTCAGCCTTGCGAGCTGCTATGCCATTCAAAAAGCTGGCTGATTAGATCATAACATCAAAACCACATTTTCGCCAACCTCTGATAACCTATTAACCCCCATCTCTCTGCCTAAAAACATTCAATGACTCTGCTTTCACCACCTTCTCAGGAACAGAATTCCAAATACACAAACCCCAAAACAAAAATTGCTAATCTGTTTTAAACACGTGACCTCTGATTTTTAGAAAGTGACCCCATATTTCTGGATTCTCTCATAAGATGGTACAACCTCTCCATAGCTACCCTGTCAAGAATGCTCAGGATTTATGTACTTCAATCAAGTCATCAAAATACTGTCTAATCTTTCCCTAAAACGCAATCTGTCCATTCCAGCTATTAGTTTAGTGAACCTTCTCTGGACTACCTCCTCCCTTAAATTAGATGATTACTATGCCCAGAAGTCCAGATCTGGTCTCACAATGTCCCATAGAATTGAAGCGTAACCTCCCTATTTTACATTCAATTCCCCTTGCTTGCTGTATGTGCAAACTAATCTTTTGTAATTCATGCATTAGGACATCCAAATCTCTGATTTAACCTATCTGCAATAAACTCCCCATTATCTGGCATATATAGGGAATGAGGGGTGTTGGTTACATGAACCTGCCAGTTGCATGAGAAATACTCTTACAGAAACCCAATACAGTATATGCTCAAAATCTTTTGAATAAAAAAAAAATCTTAAATCTACATGTCAAAAGGGTAGTGCAATTTACTTAGTGAGTTATTTGATCAGGGTCATCAACAGAACTAGCACTTGTGCCTTGAGTAACAGTTGATGTTGAGGACTGAGATGATGTGGATTTTGGCCGCAAAGCCCTCTTGAATAAATTTCTTATCTGCCTGCTTGCATGCTTTGCTCGCTTCTTTCAAAGATTGGGAATGGAGGAAGTGAAACTGCATTAGTTTGTGCAGTATAGCAGTTTTTCTACTTTTCAAGACTGAATTAACTCCACAAAAGGTCTGTACCCAATCACCAAGTCACCTTTTACTAAGACACAAACAGTCCTTGACTATAGTACTGCCTCATACAGGGTCATGTACCAGAGCCTTTTTTAGGTGTCAGCCAGATCTTCCTGATTGGACCAGATTTACAGCCCCAGTCAGGGAACTCATATTCCGTAAGGTCCAGCTGGCTGATCTTATAACAATCACTACAAGGATATTTTCAAATCCTTCAGCAGCAGACCGCCATAACACTCTTCCAACCTGCTCCCTTCTTCAATATTTGATTATTCTTCTTGAATTTTAGGTTTGTTACTATCCAAAACATTTGTAACATAAGCAGATATAATACAATGCGGAGCTGGAGGAACACAGCAGGCCAGGCAGCATCAGAGGAGCAGGAAAGCTGACATTTCGGATCAGAACCCTTCTTCAGAAATGGGGGAAGGGAGCTATGAAATAAAGAGAGAGAGGAGACGAGGGGTGGGTCTAGGGAAGGTACGTAGGATGGTGATAGGTAAGTGAATATATGCAGTGGTGGGGATTGGTCAGTGAGGTGGGAGGAGTGGATGGACAGGTTGTGTCAGGTCAAGGAGGTGGGGATGAGAGGGAAGGTTGGTCATGGGATGAGGCTGGGGGTGGGGAGATTTTGAAACTAGTAAAGTCCACATTTAGACCATTGGGTTGTAGGCTCCCAAGGTGGAATATGAGGTGCTGCTCCTCCAGTTTCCGGAGGGCGCCATTGTGACACTGGAGGTGGCCCAGGTGGACATGTCGCCCAGGGAGCGGGAGGGGGAGTTGAAGTAGTTTGCGACGAGAAAGTGGTGTCATTTTTCGTTAACAGGGCGCAGGTGCTCTACAAAAGCATCTTTGTTTACATCCAGCCATTCATCAAGTTCATCTCTGAAAATGCTTTTCATTGGATTTATAGCACTAACACAATCAACAGGAAGCCATAACAAACTTTTCCATCCCATGCTGCATCTCAAAGTGAGTGAACCATCCTTGAGAAAAGGCACATGGCTCAGTGATCTTCATCTTTTCATAAAGTTCTTTTGCCTTTTCCACAAACATTGATCTAGAGATATGTGCACCCTCCACACTCTAACAAAAATCATTCATACAATGCACTTTTCAAGACTTTAAGTTTAGGATTTTGCAGTATATGATGCTCCCCTTTTCCAGTCATTCATATATTCCTATTTTGAAGTCAAAACAACATTTTTTCACTTTAGTCCTTGCATAGTAGTCATCTTAGGCAAAATAGTAGATCAACATGTGAAAGATTTCAGATATAATATGACCACAAATTCAACTAGCTGTTACTGTAATGGCATCTGCATAAGGAAAGACAATGGTCAGCGCAGCTTGCAGCAGCTAGGAGTACTGTGCATGGAAGGTGAACATGTGCCAAGTTCAAATAGGCATTTTTGAAGAAACCTCACAAGTATGGTAAATTTTCTTCGAAATTTTTGCCAGTTTTATAAGAATTCTAGATGCTTGGGTACTAATTAAGGGGAGCTCACTGTATATCCTTTTGACTACATTTTTCTCTTTACAAGACACCTTCCTATTTTGTATCATTTGTAAGTGGTAATCATACCTTCCATTCTTCATCTAAAATTGCAAGCAGTTGAGGTCCCAGTACCAATTGCTGTGCACACCAATAGTTATATCAATTGATCATTTCATTTGTTTACAATCTAATGTAAGTATAAAATCTTCACATAACAGAAACATGTCATAAGAATGGTTCAGGCAACAAAAGGCATGACAACGAGCACACTGATTGTCATTTGACCTCTGCAAAATGCACTATCACTCGATATGCATTGACTAGGTTAATGAAGAGAATCCTGTGTTTTTACAATATAATTTGTTACGTCAAGAAATGGTGAGAGGGAAGGGGTGGAAATGATTGAGTGACTTTCTGAAGTCTATCTAAGTTCTGAGGAAAGGTCATCGGACCCGAAACGTTAACCCTCTGTTTTCTCCTTCACAGATGCTGCCAGACCCGCTGAGCTTTTCCAGCAACATTGTTTTTGTTCAGAAAGTCACCTATCGGTTGAGAATAAATCATAAAATTAGTGTCACAAATCCCATTATGATGGAGGCATTGGTCCAAAAGGAAAGAGAATAATTTGCTGGTCAGTCTGAACTCACTTACCTGGGTTTACACCTGATAGGCATCTTTTCATAGTCACTGAACAAGCGTGCATTAACCTTTCATTAAACCAGCCATTTAAAAGCATCAGAAATACCACTGTATCATACAGTAATCATGCATAAGTTTTTCAACTACATCTATAAAACTAAAAGATGGAAATGATGTAATCATTTCAAGTATTTTAAAAGAATCAAGGTAACGTTCAAAAAAAAGTGAAAAGAATCACAGAATTCCCACAGTGTGGAAACAGGCCACTTGGCCCAGCAGGCCACACGGACCCTCCAAACAGCATCCCACTCAGACCCATCCCCCTACCTCAACCTTGCAATCCTGCATCTCTTGTGGCAAATGCACCTAACCTACACATCTCTGAACACTATGGGCAATTTAGCTTGGCCAACCCACTTACCTTGCACATCTTTGGACTGTGGGAGGAAACCGGAACACCCAGCGGAAACCCATGCAGACAGTGGGAGAATGTGCAAACTCCACACAGAGTGTCGCCCAAGGTGGGTCCCTGTTGCTGTGAGGCAGCAATGCTAACCACTGAGCCACCGTGCCACCTTATTAAAATATGCAATGGCTCATTCAAAAGATACAGGGAAAAAAATTTCAAGTTTTACAATAAACCATAAAACCAATTTCTATGCCATATATGCCAAGTGATTAACGCTACTCTTATTAGTTATGGTGCAAGTGTTACATAATAACATGTTTTAATTTAGATACATAATTTATTGTTGCAATACCAGAACATATGGGAAAATGCATTTAAGGTTCAATGCAAGTTACTTACTTAGGCTACTCAGCTGCCGGATTACGTTTGCTAAAGAAACATTCGTCACACATTCCAGTTCATTCCGGATACTCCCTGGCAGTACTGTATGGCACAGATATCTGGGCTCTATGTTCCTTTTCACCAATGGCATGCTGAATTAAAATTAAAGAACGAGGAACCTGGATTAGAGAAAAAGAATGTTTCTATTAGCCTTCTTCAGAAGTAGGCGGAATCATTACATCATGGAACTTTTAATTTGTGGGAACCTATTACTTTATTTTTCATGAAACCCCATTTTTCCAGGGACAGGCAGACAGAAAGAAAAAGAGTAAAATCAGTGTAGAACTGCTTTCATTCTCACAAAAGTAAAATAATTTTTGAATGCAAAGATAAGTAAAGCTGCGTCATAATAATTTAGTACAAGAAGAGTTAAAAATTGGATGATCTTACGACAAGGGTGGAGTTCCCTCTATTAAAAGGAGTGAGGGATTGAACAACATTTTACCAAAAATTAGCTAAGTGTCAAGTTCAGGGAGTTTCATGGAGGGAATGAGCCCTAGCAAGTTTTCTTACGCAATTTTACACTGCTAAACTTTTCATGCATGTATTACACCTCTATGGCACCACACTTGTGCTATCATGTACTGACCAGTGATGTGAGCATGTGTCACTGCAAGGTCCTTCTGGCATTTCCAGCACCATATTTAATGTCCAGCTGTGCACTACATCAAATGCTACCAACCAGGAATAGCCCTTCACAGTAACATGGTGTGGAGGGAAATGAAAATGAAAAGCTTCTGAGGGCATATAGGTAGCACTGCATTGCAAATATCAGTTCACAATTGTATATATACTGCATTTTTGTATATCAGATTGGCTGTGATTGTAAACATAGAAAACAGCAACAGGAGTAAGCCATTTGGCCCTTCAAGTCTGCTCTGTCATTCATTACAATCATGGCTGATCATTCAACCCAACAGCCTGTTCCCGCTTTTTTTCCATATCCTTTGGTCGCTTTAGCCCCAAGTCCTATATCCAACTTCTTCTTGAAATATCCAATGTTTTGGCCTCATCTGCTTTCTGTGGTAGCGAATTCCACAAGCTCACCACTCAATGGGTATAGAAATTTCTCCTCATCTCAGTCTCCTTAGATTGTGAGCCCTGGTTCTGGTCCTGTTAAAATTTTATAGGTTATGAGATTCTCCCCATTCTTCAGAACTCCAGTGGACATAATAGTAACTGATTCAACCTCTCCTCATACATCAGTCCTGCCATCCCTGGAATCAGTCTGTTAAATCTTTGCTGCACTTCCTTGACAGCAAGAACATCCTTTATCAAATAAAGGAGACCAGAATGGTGCACAATATTCCAGGTGCGGTCACACTAAGGCCATGTATAAATGCAGCAAGACATCGTTGCTCCTATACTGTAATCCTCTTGCAGTGAAAGCCAGCATACCATGTGCCTTCTTTACTTCCGGTTACACTACATGCTTAACTTCAACTGGTGTCTGAGAACAACCACGTCTTGGTACATATTCCCTCCCTCAATTTATAGGCATTCAGATAATAATCTGCCCTCCTATTTTTGCCACCAAAGTGGATATCCTGACATTTATCCACATTATATTTCATCTGCCATGTACTTGCCCATTCAGCTTGCCCAAATCACACTGAAGCATCTCTGCATTCTCCTCACAGTTCACACCCCCCACCCAGCTTTATGCCATCTGCAAATTTGGAGATATTACATATAGTTACATTTAGTACATTAAAATAAAAGGACATTCTAATGCTAATTCTAGTTCCCTCATCTAGATTATTAATATACTGTGTGAATAGCTGGGGTCCTAGCTCTGATCCCTGCTGTACCCCAGTAGTCACTGCCTGCCATTTGGAAAAAGAACTATTTATTTTTATTTCGTCATGCAATGTTAGAACCCTAAGGGAGTGCTACTCTTTTCCTAATGCCTTGTGTAGCATAAAATGCTGTTACAAATGCTGTTATTATTCAATGTGGAGCATCACATGTTGGAAAGCCTTCAAACTGTTGAAACCATTTATTTTTGTTGTTCAATAAAAGTTAAGAAAAAATACCCAAGCAAAACAAAAAACCCGCATTTGCTTCTGGGTGTAAACAGGGACTGCTTGCTTTTTGAGCAAATTTGGAGCCAATGAATGATCGCTGCACCCAGCTTATGTCAATTGAAACCAGGTATCAATTAAATCATGCCCATTTGTTGTGCCAGACTCTGCGCCGCTCTATCATGCCCAGTGATGTTAAAACTGAAAGAACTGCGGACGCTGTAAATGAGGAACAAAAACAAAAGTTGCTGGAAAAGCTCAGCAGTCTGGCAGCATCTGTGAAGAAAATATCGGAGTTAACATTTCGAGTCCGGTGACCTTTCCTCAATTCTGGACCAGAAACGTTAACCGTGATATTTTCTTCACAGATGCTGCCATGCCGAGTAACGTGCTGCCTTCTCGACGTCGTCATCTTCCTCCTTGCAAGACTGCTGCCACTTTCCCAAGCTTTAAATCTCCTGAAGATGATGAGCTTCATTGCTCAAAAATAGCCCTTGTTGAAGAATGGGCTGCACGGTGTCTATGCTCGGCCTTAATCGGGGCTTGCATGATGGACTCATCAGCTGTGGTTGCAGAGGGTTGCTCTCATCTCAAAGTAACTATCCTTGGAAAGCATGTAGCCCTCAAACCACTGTTCTAAAGCACAAATGCATTATAGCAGCTTCCAGGGCTCCTGGCGCAGTCTTCTAAGATATAATCACAACAATCACAGACAACTTGTATGCTCTTGGAATGGAATCCTTTTCTGTCGATTAAGCATGCTCTATTATGACAAAGTCTTCTCAATATAACTTGTGTACAGTCTATAGTGCCCTGTGGGTGGCGAGTTATGTTGTAAAACCTACTGCCCGGGCTACAGTATCGTTCTTATCACAGGAAAATGTGATGGTGGTGTAATCTAGCACAAATTGCATCGGTAACAGTCTTGATACATTGCTGAATTGAGAACCAAGGTATCATATACATGTCCCCAGTGATTCCTGGAAGCAGCCTGTTGTATAAAAAAAATTAGCATTGATAATTGATAGCTACCAGGATAGGATGGATACTCAACCCCTTCAGGTCACAGGTCCCTCTGCAGCAGTTGACATAGTTCTGTGACAGCATCCCAAGATATCCTCAACTTGCAGTAGCAAAGCAGCTAGCTCATCTGAAGAAAACTGCATTGAGGATGATTGCTTCTGGTCAACCTGTAGTTCCTCTGCATCCTGAGGATATTTTCAGCTGTGGCTTTTTTATGTGGAGACTGCTGAAAAAGCCTTTGGAGGTTGGGGTGTGTCCTGGGCTTACTGGCATATCTCTGCAATTGCTCTGCACCTTTGTAGCATCACAGTCACAGTGACAATGACCCTGCTGCGGCTAGATCTATTGGTTACAGCTCCAATTAAACTGGAGAAACAGAACAAGTCCTTAGTAGCATGAGCAGTTAGGATTCACATTACACACAAATGACAGTTCAACATATAATGGGACATGAAAGACTCCAACAAGCATCCTCCAGTGGTTCCCAGAATCACAGATGCCAGTCTTCAGCCAATTTGATTCATACTGCGTAATATCAAGAAATGGCTAGTGGCACTGGATACTTTAAAGGCTATGTGCCCTGACTACATTCCAACAATAATAGCAAAGACCTGTCCTCCTGAAATTGTAACACCTGGAGCTAAGCTGTTCCAGTACATTTACAAGACTGGGGATGGACTCTGGGTGGGATGTTCCTTGCTGGGTCGATGTGGACTCGATGGGCCAAATGGCCTGCTTCCACACTGGGATTCTATGATTCTATTAAGCAGCATTTGCTTAGTAATTAGCTGCTCCCAAACGCTCAGTTTACTATCTACCAGGGCCACTCAGCTCCTGACATCATTTTAACCTTGGTTCAAACTTGGACAAAACAGCAGAATTCCGGAGGTGAGGACAGAGTGACTGCCCTTGACTTCAAGGCTGCATGTGACTGAATGTGGCATCAAGGACCCTAGTAAAATCGGAATAAATGAGTATCAGAGGTATTGGAGTCATACCTGGCACAAAGGAAGATGGTTGTGGTTGTTGGAGATAAGTCATCTTAGTTCCTGGACATCTCTGCAGGAGTTCCTCAGGGTAGTGCCTTTGGCCTAACCATCCTCATCTGCTTCTTGAATGACCTTTCCTCCATCATAAAGTCAGACATGACGATGTTCAGCCAACGATTCATCACCATTCACGAGTCCTCAGATATTGAAGTAGATCATGTCCAAATGCAGCAAGACAGGTTTGGGCTGACAAGTGGCAAATAATATTTGTGCCACACAAGTTCCAGTCAAAAACCATCTCCAATGAGAGACAATCTAATGATTGATATTCAATGGCATCACCATCACTGAATCTCCCACTAACATCATCCTGGGGATTGCCATTGACTAGAAACTAAACTGGACTAGCCATTCAAGTCAACATTTCAGGTAGTGTCCTTCAGTCCAAAATGTGGGCTTCTCCTTTCCTCCAGATGCTGTCTGGCTTACTGTGTTCTTCCAGCCTCCCGTTTGTCTACCTTGGATTCCAGCATCTGCAGGTTTTTTTTGTCTCTAGCCATACAAGTACTGTGGCTACAAAGCAGGCCAGAGGTCAGGAATCTTGAAGCGTGTAACCTGTTCCCTGACTGATCTTTGTGCATCTCACAACTGACTTACTGTGAATCTCTAGACAGACTGCACTGTAAAATTGGAGTAAAGAGTAAAATTATTTAACGTGTAAAACCAGTGCAGCATCTGATTTCCATGGGTGTATTCACTTTATCCCCTTAAAAGCTGGAACATTAAATCTAATGTCTAAATTGTGTACGCAGAATCGACAATGATTTTAATGATCAAAGTCATGAATTAATTAGTCCTGCCTTTAAAGTAAATGCATGGTGACAATATACATCGTTACAAACCTACTTAAAACTGCTAAGCTAGCATACTTTATTTGGTTATCTAGAGCTGAAACATCTCATTTAACAACTACTCATTTGACCCTTTCGTGAGGGGGGAGGTTAGAGTTAAGTGGAGAGTTTTTCTTCTGCCCACATTCTCTTTTCAACTACTTTTTGCATGTGACTTCCTGATTTCTGTAAC